CTTTTTTTTTTTTTTTTTTTTGAGAGGTTTTTGCTACAGGGTGTGTGCATTTGCCAGAGAGACAGAAAGTGAGAAATCACCCCCCAGCAGGGATGGCCACGCCACAATCCCTTCTCCTCCATTCTCTTCTTGGGATCTTGGGCATGCACGCTCACGCAGGAGTTTAAGCCACCGGGTCTGGGACTCGGACCTCGGTCGACTACATGGGAGTCCAGTGACATAGCCATTACGCCAACTGCTGGTCCCATGTGATGTTTCTTACACCTTCTCTGCTCATTGATTATGACTCACTTCTGAGGATTTTGTGGCTTCAGCACAGTTCCTTATATCAACAACTACAATAATTTCCCAACCTTCAAATTTCCATTCCTAGTTTAGTATTAATTATGATACATATATGCATTTTGGATAACAAATTAAAATCTACTTTTTAAAAGCCTGTGTTTTTAAATTTACTTTCTATGCTAAACTCAGTATCAACCACTCTCTAAAAGCCTCTGTAGCTTTGTCTTTCGTGGAATCCCAAAGACAAAAACTTGGCTGCTTTTCTGTGGCTTTGTATTTTATGTCAGGCTTTCTTAAATTCCAAGTAAGCTATATTTGCTCTGTTAACCTTGCCAAAGTAGGTTAAATCATTCAGAAGCTTTCATGATTAGCAAATGGGATTAGCAACCAACTTGATTTGATAAAGTTAAAATAGATATTTCATTAGTTTCTTCAGAACTGAACGTAGGCACAACTGCTTAAAGTGTCAGAGAATTCAGAAGCTTTCATCTTTAATTACAACATAAATATGAGAAATATGAAAAAAGGAAGATGTACGAGTAAGCCAACAAGACTGTAACCGTGAATCAGTTTCTCTTTTGATTCTTTTGGTAATTGCTGAATTGTGGGTGGGTGAGTAGCATAATGACCCCAATTCTTAGCACCAGTTTACAATTAAACTGATTCCGAAAGTAGATATTAGCACTCCAAACTGAAGGTTAAAAACCGAAGCCACTACTGCCTGTGTGATTCCTCCCATCTCCAAAAGGTACGGAAGTGCTTGGCTAATGTGATTTCTTCTTGGCTGAGCCAGGTTCAGTTTTAAGACTGGGATGCTTAACATCTTCTACACATTACTGACTTTATATAAAATAGACACTATTTCTTGTTGGTTAAAATGCGGTTAATTTGCAAACCACAACTATAGCTCCAATTATTTCTTGCCTCTAGGTTCTCAAATAATTGCAAAGGCTTTGTGATAAATGGCTCTGCACCCCAGGGCCAAGTCCGCATCTCTTGAGCCCATAAGAGGAATCAGATTTGTCTGCCTTTCAAGATGCTGGAGGAAAACACCTCATCTGTGGCTGTGCAGGAGTCAGGAGCTTCACATGCTCACCTTCTACCCAAACACATTTATAAAGTAACCTAGCTCTAGTTCCTCAGTTCTTTCAAGTGGGTGTTCTGTAAATAACAACCGTTCACACCGTCATTTATTCTCAAAAACGTAAGGCAGAAGCAAGGAAACTGGGGCCCGAGCAGGAGCAGAGATGTTTCTTCCAAAATCTCACTTTATTCTGAATTGTCATTACAGACAGTAAAACATATTTATGTGGCTCAAGTGTGACTTAACTCTAAATTACATTGGGTTCTGGAATGGCTTAAAGGCTCTTCTGGCCAATTATATTTACTTCTGTTTATAAAAACTGGCAAGAAGCTACTGTATGCTGGCTCGCAGCCACCTGAGTTCCTTCCATTTACAGTCACTTTTATCAGAGGTATAATATTTTTATATTAAAGATCCTTGGGCAGTATTAATAAGGAAAAGGAGGGAATAACAGCTCATTCAGTTTTTTTTTTTTTTTTTTCCCCAGCCACAAGGCTAAGAGTGAGCAGTCATCTCTTTGAGTTGGTAGTTCAGAATTTCTAGGAATGCAGTGTTTTAAGAGATGGAAAAACTCAGAACTGCTTTCAAGAGAAACTCTGAAGTATTAGGTTCATCGGCCCATCTGCTGCTTGTGCATTCCATTTTAGCCATGGGTAGAGAACTAGGTAGTTCAAATACCTAGTTAATCCAAAGGCACTTTTTGAGATAATGAACTGAAAATGAAGCATACCAAACTCAAACACACACTATATAAAGAGAAAAATTAGAAGTGTGCTAGGAGAAGACATAGTATAATATCAAGTAAGCAGTATTTGGGGTCTGATAGCCTAAGGTCTAATAAAAGCACTAGGGCCTTGGCTTGCCAATAAATACAAGACAGCCATCCCTAAATCCGGATTTCTCTACATTTAGTACTGTACCTGTCATGGGTGTGAGAATTCAAACTTAACACCCCATGTCCATCAGCCTGCCCATAATGGGCTCCCTAAGAACTCCTGCTTTCCCATCTCTGGAGTACATGAAGGAACTAAAAACTGGCCATGCCCTGTGTGCATTCAAACACAGCACAGAAAAGAGCAGGAATTTAGCTGAACAGTGTAGGTCCTGCTGGATTGTTAAATCAGTCACTCACTCCCTCTGTAAAACAAGTATTTGACTAGACTAAAAGTCACCTGCAATCTTGTCTTGCTCTAAAATTCTACATAATCTACTGGGAAAAGGCAAAAACAAAACCTCTACATAAACCAAAACTCTAAAATGCCCAAGGTCCTAGGGAATGGCTTACAACAACAAACCCCAACCAAGGTCCTAGGGAATGGCTTACAACAACAACAAAAATCACCAGCCCTGAGGTTCCAGGCTTTGTATTTCACGCAGTGGAGACTGGGTTTAGGTCACACTCCAGCGGTTCCAGGCCACATCTGAGAGAGGGGGGCGGGGTGTTCCCCGAAGATTCAAGGCTAATGTCAGGCAGCAAGAGGTAGGGGCTGTCCCAGGAGGGAGAGAAAGGAACCCATACTTTCGAGAAAGAAACTCGAGAATTTAGGGGAAGAACACCTGCTAAATCTGGTCAGGATTAGGGCTTGAACGGGAGAGCCTGCTCTGAGAAATCCCCCAGGGGCTCCTAGCCCAGACCCGAAGAGACACGTTAATTGCCAAGTACTCAGAGCACACATCTGGGGTGGGTGGTGGGGGTGGATGCACGAAAAGGCCCAAGTATGGCCCTGGCTACTCACCACGAGCGGGATGGAGCAGATGAGCACCACCAGGGAGGTGGCGATGAGTAAAATGACCATCTGAATCTCCGCGCCCGCGATGCGGCGGAAGCTTCGGCGGCGGCGAAAGTCGCTGAAGCGCGGCAAAGCTGGCGAGGCTGTGGGGTTGCCCCGGCAGGAGGCCGAGACCGCCGCGGCGGCCGCCGCGTGGTGCTGCTCAGTGCCCAGGGAGGTGCGGCGCATGAACTGGCGGTGCATGCGGAGCAGCGCGCCGCACACCAGCACGTTGCAGAGTACGGTAGCGAGAATGAGGAAGGAGCTGAAGCCCGCGTACATGTAGGAGAAGGCGGCATGCGCAGTCACGTTGGTGGTCCAGTCGATGAAACACCAGGTGTCGGGGTACTGCAGCCGCGAGCTGCCGAGGCCCATGTTGGGCAGCGCGCAGAAGAGCACGTTGGACGCGTAGACCGCGAAGAGCGTGAGGCCAGCTAGCCGCTTGTCCACGTAGTGGCTGTAGAAGTAGGCGTGGTTGATGGCCAGGTAGCGCTCGATACTCATGGCACAGATGATGCTGAGGCCGGACAGGCCGAAGAAGAGCAGGATGAAAGTGCTATACTCACATAGCGCCTGGCCCCCTGGCCAATGACCCTTCATGTACGTGGCGATGGTCACCGGGCTCACCAGCAATGTACCCAGCAGGTCAGTGACAGCCAGCCCACATACCAGAGTGTAGAAGGTTGTCTCCTTTTGCTCCTTGCGCGACTTGCAGAGCACCACGATAGCCACCAGGTTGCCCACCACCCCGAAGATAAACATCACGGCCGGGATGGTCACCGGGCTGTTCAGGCGACCGGGGAGCAACGAGGCGGATGCGTTGACACCAGGAGCGGACATACTGGTGGTCCGACGTGTGCAGCGGTGTAGAGGCTGGGTCTGGGGAGGGTAAGAAAGACAAAAGCGCGGTGAGCGGAAATGGACACCTGTGGTAGGACCTGTGCCCAGAAAACAATGTGCTGATGAGAACAAGGCGAGCAACTTGTTCTTACTTTCTGGATGGTAGCCACTTACCAGCGGCTATCGAAACCTCCAGGCTCCCCATACATCCTGCCAGGAGCACCACTCTGCTGACATTAATATTTATAAGTCGATAGTGCCATTCCCTTCTCCTCCCAACCCCACTCACTCCACTGCCAAGATGAACAAGACCCATCTCTAGAGATAAGTGGCTCGCTAGTGTTATTCCCGACGGATTCCCAATCAATAAAATTCTCATCATAAACAAATTATGGAAGGTAATTTGGAGATAGCATTCTCTCTTCCTTGGCTCTTGGAACATCGCCCTCTCAACCCGGTGCCCCTAACCCATCTCACCTGCAGTGGCTGCACGGCGGCAGTTCCGACAGCCCCTCGTGTCAACCCCAGATAATCTCG